TATGTAATGCACGGATAGTCTCTATTTTATCAAATCGGCGCTGCAAAATTTATGTATTTTTCGACGTGAAATACGGTGTAAAATATCATACATTAATTAATGGTGTGTAATGTGAACTATACCAAATCTAACTCCATGCAATAAAGCAAATGTGTGTGAAAAAACAACAGCAGTTACTATAAAATACCACATGTTTCATATCTTAAGTTACGGTGTGCTAAAATTATCGACCCCAATTAAATATAATATTTAGGAAAGAAACGTTACACAACTAGACAGCATATTGAGGAAATCGATACCCTTGGCGCGAACGAGTCTTTTCATACAAAGGAATTAATTTTTCAGGGAGCATTAGTGTGATATTGGCTGAATAAAGTACTTATGATGGCGCGTAAGAAATATAGAAAATTGCAGCTGAAGACCCCCTATCCTAGAGTATGTATGATATGACAAAGACTACATACACTCCGCTCTGAATTTGAAGACCCACTATCTCAGTGTATATTGTGATTGAGATTACGCAAAATGCTGTCTGGGGCGTTAATTGGTTCTCACGCCTGGGACAGCAGCCTACTACTAATTATAATGGACGCGATGTTTAAATTACGCTGTTCTGTTCACCCGGCGGGTGTAACAGTAAGTATGGCTGTTCTGTCGATAGGTCACCGCCCTGTCATAAATATCATAACTATTGTTCGTCTCCGTGTAGCGCAGTAATGCAGCATTCATTGTCTGGGTTCTGAACAAAGATACGTCGTCGGAGCCGACCTATTCACTGCTGACTTCGGTACACATTCAGGAAAATCAAAACAGGGCTGATCTCCGTAAAAAATATTAACGAATGCGATGGATTCTTTTAGTTTTCTCAGAAACGTCCGTGTGATATACTATTTCGATGTGTGTGGCATACTATAAACCCGTTCGCGGTAGGTATGTTTTTAATATTTATTATTATACCGTCTTTATATGATTCCTAGTATTTCTGTGAAATTCATAGTGTAAGACAAACGAAAAAAATTGCCACAAGATTATGCGATTAAACCTTGTTTCGGCTGTTAAACCAGCGAGTCAACTACTCTTATTAAAGACGATGCAAGATATATATCAGTCGATTATTTTAAAGTTGGGTGATTCATTGGTGTTCATATACCGTGAAATGGACGGAACAGCACGAGAATGCGGTTCAGATACATTGCAAGGAAGTTTGTTCGGTTTAGCTCGGTAACTTTCGGTATAGCTCGGATCAATTCGACGTACCCTATCCCTCAGTCTCGACAGAAGTAATTGTGGCTCACGGCGAAGTGCTCAATGTTTTTTTTTTGCCGGACACGTATCCTGAAAATGAGAAACTTTGAGACCCCAGTAACTTCTGTGTCACGTGATCACGTTTTATCGAAGATTGTTGAACGAACGTAGCCTTCCTTGTCGGCTTCGTCGTCAATTGAGTGCTCACATTGATACTGTATTATATGCCCCCGTGACCTGGGTGCATGTACAGCCAATAAATATTATATTATCTTTACGTATGTGTGGTATGACAGTGTTAGTGTTAGTGATTTTTCGTCATGGAACTAAACTGAAGAACTCGGAGTTGTGACAGTGAAACATGGTCGCCTTGATGAAACTAATGCATTCATTGGCCAATTTCAAATATTCATTTCTTACTTGAAATATAAAAATAAAAATTCCCAAAGCATTGTGATATATTAGACTGGCACAGTCTGGGTGATTTATTTCTTTTTAAATTTAAAATTATAAAATAAAAAAATAAAATAGCGAAATGGAGGTGTTAACGCAAAATCCCCTGTAACCGCAAAATGACCCATATGGTGGTTTCGCGTTCACCCCACCTTTCGCAAAACTATTTTTTCCAATTTTTTTTTTCAATAATCACCACAGCTGGACCAGTCTAGTGATATATTAATAATTATCCTTACTAATTTCTAACTTTATTTTATTTAAACCCGTAAAATTCGTTTTCCGACATTTTTTGGCGACTTCAGTTTTTAATGGTGACCCACTCGCAAATATGGTTCTGTAACCCGGTTTATGTTCTAACCAGCTGACTTTCAACCAATCAACGCTGTTACACTAAATAAGGCCACACCGACTTATTTTTATGGATGACATCCGCGCGCGCATTAGTTTTCGCCTGTTCTCAAAAAAAAAAAAAAATCTCCGACGACGAGTCTCCACAGATCGGTTTTCTGTCCGGAACTTGCCGACTCATATTGTCGCAAAGCACCGGCTTGTCGTAAAACTCGTTTTGGACTACCTCAAAACGTGCCAATTTTGTCGTAAATGATCTTCTGCACGCGCGTATTGCGTTGCCGGGAATTCCAACATGGCGACCACGCCAGCAAAATACGTGAGCATAAAAGTTCAGAGGAAAAACGGAGGGATTGTTGTAGACAGATACGCAATTGACGTCGGCCAGGGAGATGTGACGTTTACACAGCTATACGAGAGATTGGTAGCGGCAAGCGAGTTTCGCCCAGACAACTTTAAAGACATATTGTCCAGATTGGCTGTCCCGCGTTTCTTCTGCAACGATGAGAGAAATGGGAGAGGAGTGGATGTATATGGTGGCCTAAAAGTCGGTCAGGTGACAAGTCAGTTCGGTTGCTTTGTCCGCATTGAAGTCGACCAAATCATTTTTTTATACACTGTGTTCTGTGGTTCAATTCGTAATACCAGCTCCGTAGTCCTGTGGTTTTAGCAGCATTTTTTTTTGTGCAGGATTTTTTTTTCTCGCCCTTTCGCATTAGTTTTGGGGTCTCCAGAGGATGTCATCCATAAAATTTAATCAGTGTGGCCTAACATGAAACATCGGTATATATTCACAATGCTTCGTATTTGACCTCAGATCGAAAAGAAACAAAATGCTAGGATACAGGGTTCACAGCGAATCAGATTCTTTTGCAAGTTGAAAAACTTTGTATTTTTCTGTTTTTCACAAGTATAGAAATTGTAACTTTGCTCTATTATATTTTCTCAGTGCATTCGTGCGCCGTTTCTAATCGAAATTATTATTTAACGAGAATGCCCTGTGACTGAAAGTCATGCCCCTCATCGATCGAGCCCAGCCACTGATAGTGACATTATGTCGAACTTAATTTGTATAAGACCGACATGGCTCTGGCATTTTTAATATTGCTATGGATGAACCCGGGGATGAACCCACATCGTAATGATGACAGCGTAAAGGAGTCAGCACTGCCTTTCTCGCGTAACTGCCTCAAAACTTGTTATTGAAATGAGGGATTATGGATACAATCCGAACACAGTCTATCAGCATATTTTCGCACTTGCGCGCAATACACTGAATACATGCATGCAAAATTTAAGTCTACCCGCGGTAGACGAATATTTTAATGACATCAGTACTGTAGTTTTTATCACACTTCCTTAAAAAAATGGATTCTCTAAAATCACGATACAATTTGCGTTTTAAAAAATACAATGTCGATATGATTTTAAATTAAGCGATAAGCATAATTTTTCATTGGTAAGATTTCTACTGTTAAAGGATACCGTTGCAGTTTGATTTCTCTGAAATACATTAAAGGAGAGTCCAAGCGTGTTATTTGATAGTACAGCACATAACGTACGCTTGTCACAAAGGAAATTCTGAACAACGCTGTTAAAACTGTTCCTTCACATGTCAATCATGTGTAGGTTTATGTCATGACGTCACTAGCTCATTCGAGACGTGCGCAGCCATTGCTATCCGGCATACTGATTTCCATGTTCTTTGTAAAGAACTTGAAGGAAGCGCCATCACACAGCAGAATTGGACGTTTGAGGAACTTGGCAAAGGTCAATACAGCGTTTCGTTTTCGTTATTTCGTCTATTTATAGCAATATATTAGTGCATTTACTGATGTGATGTGTGGCCTTTAAAACATTAGACGACGTTGGATTGTGCAATATTTTGTTACTAATTACGCTGTTCGTAACGGTCGGTACTAGCGCACTTTTGTTAGTAGTGAAATGATTTGTATACTAACCAACAGAAGAGTTCATGGGCAATGAAAACCATTGAAACGAACAGTTTTATTTGTAAAAAATAAGATTTCAACATAAAA